GGATGTTTGCAGCTATTTCTCCTCAATTTGAGTCATGCCATGTCAGCACATGGAGGTCCTGAAAGACTTACTTTATCCTTATCATTAAGGTAGGCTCTATTCTGATGAGGCAGCTCTTTCCCAGTCCTGTTTTGAGTGCCTTCTGACCCAAGGGGCTTGTCTTCCTGCACTGTGTCAGACAATATTTCCAAGCTATTCATGAAGTTGCCCAGTAATGTATCAGACAGTGTTTCTCCGCTATTCATAAGGTTTTCCCTGGCCAGTTTTTGAGAAGTGGATGGCCTCCTCCTTCTTCCTAGTCTGTCTTAGTCTGTAAGCTGTGTTGAAACCTGTGTACCATGTGCAACTCTGCTGGCGTCTGAAACACTAGTGGCACAGCCTCAAGCCTCACAGCAACGTACAAGCCTCACAGGATGACAAGCTGACAGACAAGTTTGTCTCCCTTAGCTGTTGGAAACCTCTGTGCCCTCCCCTTACCTAATTCCTACCTGAAACCTGCCACTTTGTGGTAGCTGGCCACTCCATCCCTTTCTTGGCTCTAGGGGGCTTGAGGCCTAGCCTTGTCTCCCACCCCATTTTACCTGGATATCTTGCCACTCCACAGGTCCCCGGCTTTTCCTGCTCCCTCCCTTTCCTGGCTGTAGGGGCTTGGGGCCTACCCTTGAATCCTGCCCCTTTTTACCTGGATATCCCGCTGCTCCACAGGTCCCCGGCCTCTTCTGCTCCCTCCCTTTCCTGACTCTAGCTATTCCACTCCTAGGTACATACCCAAGAGTACTGGAAACACGTTCACCCCATAACATACACAGATGTTCACCCCATAACATACACAAATGTTCATACCTTTGTCACCATTAAAGAACCAACACTGACCCAGTCTTTATTCATACTTTTACTGCTGTTCCCTTAGTTTTCCCCCATGTCTTTTTTCTGTTCCAGGTTCCCATCCAGGACACCACATTCCCTGTAGACCCTCTCGGCTGTGACAATCCCTCAGACTTGCCGTGTCTCTGATGACCTTGCCAGTTTTGAGGAGGAGTGCTGCTCATGTATTTTGAGACCGTCCCTGAACTGGAATTTGTCTGAGTTTTTCCCATGATTAGGCTGCCCTCATGGATTTTTGGAAGGAGGCCACAGAGACAAAGTGCCCCACCTCAGAACAAGGGTGCATACCATCAGCGTGACATCACTGCCGACATTGACCTTGATCACCTGGCTGAGGTAATGCTTAGGCTTCTCCACCTAAGGTCATCCTTTCCCCCTCTTAAGGTCTGGGCTGTTTGGAAGGACGTCACTATGGCAACCCGCACTGAAGGAGGGAGCATTAAGCTCCACTTTAGAATTCTTCTGAACACGGAACCATGTTTATTCTCCCCTTTCTTCACGCTATAATTTATTTACACCAGTATGGACTCTTGGATATTTAGTGTAGACTTTGAGTTATAATCCAACGCTGCCTTTTTACCCTTCTGGGTTTTGAATCCACACTGACTGAGGCATGATTTACATGCTGTGCACCATTTAAAGTGCATGGTTGGGTGCGTTTTACAAATGCCTGCACTGGGAGAACTCCAGCCTTGGCCGCCACAGGTGTCTGTGAGAAAATAATAATAATAATAGACTTAGTCCACTCACCAGAACTGAATTCCTCACTCAGAGAGACTTGGAGAATGATGTTAACTTCCCATTTTAGGTCTAGAACAGCCCTGAGTTCCCGAAAGGGGCTAAACACAGTCGCTAAGGGGCAACAACACGCTGCCATCAGCAGTCCTTTTTATCTGTACTCAGCAGCTCCGGAACTGTGCTCAGGGGCCTGCCTGCCGGTGAGGGTTCTGGAGCGCCAAGGCCCGCCCAGCGCCTCCGGAGCCCAGGGCCTGGCTAAGGACAAAGGGGTGGAGGGGTGGGGGGA